AAGTCATTGGCTACTTAAAATTGTTTTGAACTTAGCTGGTTACTCTGCTGAGCTACAGTATTCAATCACATAATTATGATCCTTTAGAAAAAGATAGCAAGTAACCGGGCCAGACATGTATGTACTAAAAGGCACCCACGATCAAGAGTCGATTGAATAAACATGTAGAGTTTCATTCATTAAACTGGTACCTTTGACTTAGTTGGTTTTCGGGTGAATATCATGCTAACAACTGCAAGTTAACCCACAACATCAAGCTGAAGCGCACATTAAACATACTCTGCTTTAATGCAGCCCTGAGCATAATCATGAACATGTGCCTTTAGAACAGCAAGCTTTCAAAATTTAGTATTAACATGACAGATTTTGAGGTGCAAATAATGTCAGTGGAATTCACACGTGTGGTGATTTTTAAAGTCAGTTTCATGATTGTAACTATCCATTGCGGTGAATTACATCACAAAACCTTCATGAATTTTGTTGTTCTTGAGAGAATGTCTTACAGTATCTTAATTCTGTAAACTAAATTAAAACAGTTACAAATTTGGTGCAGTCTCCGTTTTATACTTTTTGGAAATTATTAACTGCACTTGGTACAAAATGAAGTGATCTGATACATAAATTTGCATGTGAATGTGTGTAAACTGAGTTTTAGTGGAAGATGAGAAATCATAATTTATGTAACATTGTAGTTCAATGCCATATTTATTTACTACATATACCCCAATCTGGTACAGTCTCCATTTTCTACTTTTTGGGAATAATTAACTGCACTTGGTATTAAAATGAAATGATCTGATGACATANAAGTCATTGGCTACTTAAAATTGTTTTGAACTTAGCTGGTTACTCTGCTGAGCTACAGTATTCAATCACATAATTATGATCCTTTAGAAAAAGATAGCAAGTAACCGGGCCAGACATGTATGTACTAAAAGGCACCCACGATCAAGAGTCGATTGAATAAACATGTAGAGTTTCATTCATTAAACTGGTACCTTTGACTTAGTTGGTTTTCGGGTGAATATCATGCTAACAACTGCAAGTTAACCCACAACATCAAGCTGAAGCGCACATTAAACATACTCTGCTTTAATGCAGCCCTGAGCATAATCATGAACATGTGCCTTTAGAACAGCAAACCTTCAAAATTTAGTATTAACATGGCAGATTTTGAGGTGCAAATAATGTCAGTGGAATTCACATGTGTGGTGATTTTTAAAGTCAGTTTCATGATTGTAACTATCCATTGCGGTGAATTACATCACAAAGCCTTCATGAATTTTGTTGTTCTTGAGAGAATGTCTTACAGTATCTTAATTTTGTAAACTAAATTAAAACAGTTACAAATTTGGTGCAGTCTCCATTTTCTAATTTTTGGAAATTATTAACTGCACTTGGTACAAAATGAAGTGATCTGATAGTAAATTTGCATGTGAATGTGTGTAAACTGAGTTTTAGTGGAAGATGAGAAATCATAATTTATGTAACGTTGTAGTTCAATGCCATATTTATTTACTACATATACCCCAATCTGGTACAGTCTCCATTTTCTACTTTTTGGGAATAATTAACTGCACTTGGTATTAAAATGAAATGATCTGATGACATAAATTTGCATGTGAATGTAAATAAGCTG